CCAATCTGATTTCACTATTTTTACCTCAAAAAACATTTTTCATCCTTTTGCACTACACTTAAGTATTTGTTTTACTTTATTGCTTTGTTAAATGTTTCGAATTAAAGTATAAAGTCATCATTTTCAGATTCGTTATGCTCACCCAAGTTATGGCTGCGTGCACTGTGCTCAGTGTTATTGCTGGTATGTTTTACACAACTACATATGCTTTTTATTTATTCCGATTTTTTGTAATCTCGAATAATCTTCATGGCACGAGCTAATATAAATTTTGATTTTAATATCAATATCATGTATTATCACACTAGGTTTATCACTTATGATTTAATTGTAGAGCAACTTCGAGCTTATTGCTCAGCAATCGGGATAGAGCTGGGCCCAGTGCTTAGCGAGGGGTCTACCTTATTTCAGGCCCTCGCAGTAATGCTGGGCTCAGACGCCGAATCCCTGAAGACAATGGCGGCCGATTTTCTGAGGGAAAACTGGGAATCCCTCAGAGAATATGATACATCGAACAGGGGCCAGTCATATTATAGTAAGTTTTGCTTGTGAAATCATTTGGTGTTGAAAGTCTTCATGTATGATAAATATTTTGATATAATTGGATATAAAATCATTAAATTTCACTATTTAGTTGATGCACTCCAAACGGGCCCGCACTGCCACCTCCACCTTGAAGCCTTGTGCCGTGCGGCGTCGGTACGTGTTGTACTGCACGATGCCGAGCGCCGCATCCGATCAGTTTTCGGACCAAGCACAGCTTCCGTGTTTGGTCCGGACGGCACACTGTTAGAAATGGTCTGTGCCCGTAACTACTACGCTGCTTTGGTAAACGGGCATTGCAGACCAGTAAGTAAATTTTCGCTATTTCGTATTTCAAATTTTTGTGTTATGTCAGTATTTCTTTAAGATCTAAATAAAATACCTATTGATTTATATCGGTTTCTGAATACTTTTTTGTCAATTTTTGTTTAATATTTTTTCTCATATCAAAATGTTAATTTTAGTGGCTAGGTCACACAGAAAGTGGAACGAATCAAGAATGTTCCACTGGTGGCAGGAACGCGGCGGAATCAGTTTTGGATGATGCAGGTAAGCTCTCAATTTTTCTACCAATGAAAATATTTTTTCTATTGTTTTTGCTAGTAAAGCAACAGTTTTCATGAATAAGAATTCTTTCATCAAAAGTTTTCTTTGTTTTTCAAAATGTAAATAAAATAAGCATAAGTTTGTACTTTTTTAGCGTTCAGTTTGGCGGCTGTAACACCGCTACCCGATGATGATGATAATTTACTGGTAAGTTAATTATGGCATTAATGTTGACAGTGCTAATCCATAGCATGAACAAACTCACTAAATTTCTAGTCCAGCATTTTTGTCTTATCAGGTTACAGAAAAAAATGATGAAAGAAGTACTGAATTTCAGGATGTGGCTGGACCGAGTAGAACGGATGAAGGATTCACCGTTCCACCACGTCCGACACGCAGTGCAATCCAGGAGGAGGTAATTAATTTTACTAAACCCTATCTATACAGAATACTTTTTAATTTATACTGGTTTCTGAATATTGCGGTGAGTGAAATTACTTGAGCCATAATTTTTTCCCTGAAATGTCGCACAATATATTCACTAATTGTGATGAATTTATTTTGTGTCATTTCATTTATAAAGCCGCAATGCAATTTTTATAACAATGAGTGTTTCATATATCGAAAATGAATCCAAAGTGCGCGTTAATTATGAAAATTTGAAAGTTACTGATGCATACTTTAAAATTCTTTTAGATCAATTGATCATTATTGCAGGCTGGTAACCTTAGCAGCCAGACGTGCACAGTTGCATCTCTAAAACTTGTGACGTCTGATGCTGCATGTTCGAAAGCTAAGGCTTCCAGTCCAGCGATCACAGCTTCCTCCATGGTACATTTTTGTCATTTCGAATTTTTACATTCTCTATTCGTCTGTTATGAATTCATGGTCAACCTTGACAAACATAGCATGTAATATTACTTACAGAAACCGTCAGCTCGCTGTCGACGCAAGCGGTCGTCCAAATTTGAGCTGATCCCGGATTACCGCGCTAAATTGTAGGTTTTCCTATTTATAACTTTATGACTGCTTGTTAGTATTTGTAATTATGCTTGCATATTATTTATGAATGTTGTAGGAGAAGTTACGGCTCGAGCGTAGATCCACTTCCTTCCAGGAGTCCACGAATCAAAGATCGGTGC